CAGATAATCACGCTCTCAGTCAGCTCTACTACTGATCAGAACAAAGTGTTGTCTTGTATCCTACATGGCTAAGAAAACTCATGCCCCTTCTGAGGAAAAATAAAACATGACAACCACTTCTAACACAATGCCAGTATTTTAAGAAATTACCACATACTCAAGAAAGCAAGGAAAATAATCCACAGTAAAAAGAAAGCAGCCAAAAAACACCAGGCCTCCATATAAACCACGTTAAAATAAACATGTTTTATAAATTTGTTTAAATATAGGAAAATAAAACAAATAGTGGAGATACAGAGAACTTCAATAAAAACTGAAACTTGATGAGCCAAATAATTACTACACAAAACTAAAAGGGAGATGATAACTCATGACAGCTTTTTATTGGTACAAGTTTGTAGCACACAGTTTTTCTATTCCTTGTGAGGAATCGGTATGTGTACATACCGTATCTAATCCTTCTTTTCATTCCTTTTCTCTTATCTGCTCTCCCCACTGCATCCATCGTCTGAATCCCTTCCTTTTTTTGTGTGTGAGACGTGTTTGCAGTACATTATGTTTATACTACTTTGTGGAGTTGGTACCATGTATGTACCATGTCTTAATTTCTTTTTTAAAATTCTCTTTTTCTCCTTCCTCCATCTTTCTCTTGATCCCTTCCCATATGAGAAAAATCTACTGCCCTACTTTCTATTACCTATCATTTGCTCTTTATGTACAATGTGTGCTTCTCATATTAGAGAAACTATGAGATATTTACACTTTGTGTTTGTTTCACTTAATAGTATGGTCTCAAGGTACATACATTTTCCTATAAATGACTCAACTTTACCCTTCTTTGTGGCAGTGCAGTTCTCCATTGTGTTTAAATAACACGGTTTCTTTATCCATTCATCTGATGATGGACATACAGGCTGCTTCCCAGACTTAGCTGTTATAAACCTTGCTGCTAAAACGTGGGTACGTACATATCATTGCAATGTCCTATCTTTTAATTCTTTTGAGAAGATACCTAGAAGAATAGGTGGACCAAGTGGAGTTTCTGGTTTCAATTTGTTGAGGAATTTCCATACTGATTTCCACAGTGGTGCACCAGTTTACTCCCACCAACAGTGAAGAAGCTGCCCTCTCCCTGAGCCTTGCCAGCGTTTGTACTGTATTTGATTTCTTAATTAAGGCAACTTCATTGTTGCTTTAATCTCCACTTCTCTAATTGAGAAAGGAGGTAAGGTATGGCAAAGCTGGCTGGAGAAGTGGGACCTGCTAAATACAAGATCCCCAAACAGTGTCACATAATTCCCAGACCCCTACATATAAAACTTTCCATAGGTTTCTACAAGATGTAGATGACACGTAAAGATGTGGATACCACAGGGAGCCTACTACCATGACTCTTTTTTTTTTTTTTTTTTTTTGGTACCGGAGGAGATCGAACTCACAACCTTGTGTTTGCCAGGCAGACACTTATGCCACTGAGCTAAATCCCCAGCCCTCTATCGTGACTCTTTATGGGAGCCACTTGGTGCCTTCTAGACAGAGTGGACACTTTCATTTTTGCTTTTGTCTCTTTCTTGTTCATCCCAAGTTTATTCTGCAATGCCAGTTTCTCCCTTAGCCCTCCATCCCTCACTTTTCAAATAAACTTTCAGCACCATTTTTGGCTTGTCTTATTCACTTCTTTGTTCTAGGCAAGAAAGACCTAGAATACATTTAATTAGTGAGCTACTTCTAAGGGAACTACTCAGTAATATAATGGCCAGCGATGCTGAGCATTTCTTCATCTATTTGTTGGTCATTTGTACATCTTCTTCTGTGAAGCATCTATTTATTTCACTTTCCCATTTTCTGAATAGCTCTTTTACTTCTAGATGTCTAATTTTTGAGTACTTTATATATTGTAGATATTAGTCCTCTATTTGAGGAATAGTAGGAAAAATCTTTTTCCCATTCTGTATGTTGTCTTTTCACTCTATAAGTTGTCTCTTTTGCTGTGCAGAAGCTTTTTAATTTGATATGGTCTCATTTGTTGATTCTCAGTCCTATTTCCTGTGCAAACAGGGTTCTGATCAGAAAATCCTTGCCTATCCCTACGAGGTCAAGAGTTCTATTTTGCCTCTCGGCAGATCGTTTCTCTTCTACCATTTAATTCTTTTATTTATTCTGATTTTAGTTTAGTATATGGTGAGAAATAATGGGATTACACTCAATCTTCTGCATATGGACAGCCAGTTTTCCCTATGTTTTTGGCCTCTTTGTAAAGGACCAAATAGGTGAATGTGCTTGGGATTATTTCCGTCCCCTACATTCTCTTCCACCGACTCATACGTCTATTTTGTGCTACTACCATGTTGTATTTGTATTTAATCACTGTAGTTTTGTAATATAACTTCAAATCAGGATTGTGATTGCTTTGCTCTTGTTATGTAAGACTACATTTGCTATTTCTGGGTCTATTCTGATTCCATATAAATTTTAGGTTGTTTTCTTTAGTGCTGTGAGAAATGCTGTTGGTATTTTGACTACATTAGATCTGTATATCAATTCTGGAAGTGTGGCCATTTTGGCTAAGTTGGTTCTGGCTACCCATGAACGGGATATCTTTTCACTTATGCCCTCTTTGATTTCCCTTTTCCGAGTGTTCTAGTTTTCACCATAGAGGTATTTCATTACCTTTGGTTAGTTAACTTCTAAGTAGTTTTTCTCACTGTAATGTCAATTCCTCCTCCCCACCTTAATTTTTTTAGTGGGTTCATTATTAATGTATAGGAAAACTACTGATTTTTGTTTGTTGATTTTGTAACCCCCTATATTACTAAATTTGGTTATGAACTCTTAGAAGAGTTTTTTGGAGCTAGTGAAGGAAAGAAATTATAATGATTAGAGCAGAAATCAATAAAATTAAAACCACAAAGAACTAATGAATAGAGGAGTTGATTCTTCAAAAGAGTAAACAAAATAGACAAACTCTTAGCAGCTTTAACCAAAAAAAAAAAAAAAAAGAAAGAAAGAAAGAAAGAAAAAGGAAAAGAAGGACAGACCTACCTCAATGCAATTAGAAATGGAACAGGTGAAATCACAACTAAACCTAATCCTCACTTTCATACATTATAAAAACTCTGTCATTTCTGTTGTCAAAACATTCAATGACTTTCTGTTTCAGAAAAAAGCCAATGTCTTTACAATAGTTTACCAGATCCTACAAAATCCAGTTGTTTATTGTCTATTTTCTAGCAATCTCCCTCTCTCATTCAGCTCTAGCCCCATCTCATGCCATTTCCGAATCTGCACAGCATGCTTCTGCCAGAAGGCCTTTGGACTTTTTAGGGCTGAATGGCTGGCTTGCTGTTTCTTTTCATGTCTCCATATTATACCACTTCAGTGAAACCTTTTTTTCTCCATCTTACTTGCAATTATTTTTCCTTGATTTTTCTCACTAGTATATTCTTAATGTTCTATTTCTTACCTCTCACCCCACTATTGCGTGTGATTAAAAAAAAGCAAGGATTTTTAATATTTGGATGATTCTGTACTACTAGTATTTATAACACAATTGGTACAAAGTAGACACTTGTTAAATACTGCTTATAATGAGTAAATAAAAAAGCTACTATGGTTTGGATCTTAATTGTGTTAAGCAAGCTCACATGTGAAAAACTTGGTCCTTAGAAAGGTGCTACCAGAGATTATGGAACCTTTAGGAGGGAATCCTAGAGGTCAGTTTTTAGATTTTGGGGTGCATACCATCAAAAGAAACATCGAACCCCAGTCTCTTTTCTCTTTTTTTGTTCACTGGCTACAAGGTGAGCCATTTTGCTCTTTGGTGTACTCCTACCAGGTCCAGAAGCAATAAAGCCAATTGATTATGAACTGGAACCTCCAAAACTGTTAGCCAAAATAAATATTTTTTCTTTATAAGTTGATCATCTCAGATATGTGTGGATAGTAAGAGAAAACTAACAGGAGAACTAAGTTAAAAACACTGTCTCTGAATTAATTGTTAAATAAATGAAATATGAATTATGAATTTTAAAATGAGAAAATAAATTTTAATAAAAATAATAGGAATATAAACCTGACGCTGGCATAAATGTTCATGTAGAAACATAATGCTTGTTTTTTAGGTACTCATTTTTAAACTCAGTCACTACAAAAAACTTATAATTTTACTACATTAATTACTATCAGTAGTATTTCATTTTGATGTTATGAACAATAGAATTTAGGAGAAAATAAACATCCAAAATCAATATAAATGCTGAAATGTCTTGAATAATACATTACAAATTCAAAATTTTAAAACATTTTAAAAATTTTTTAAACTACTTATTTTAACTTGATTCCAAGTGTAAAGACTCATGGATGAAGTCAAGTATTAAATCTTTCATATTTTACTTATATTAATGCTTAGGGGTAGAAGTATATATAGTTTAATGGTAGAGAGGTTGTCTAGAATTTGAGAGACCCTAGGTTCAGTCTCTAGCACTAAAAAAGGAAAAAATGAAAAATATATATATACACACACACACTTATGAATATATGTACATTGTACACACGTGTTACTATTTAAATGTATAATGGAATTAAAGACATTTTCAAGAAATAAGCAAAATTAAATTTATGTCAAATAAAAATATTTTGATAAAGAATGAATTAATCTAGGGAATGTAAAGCAAGCAGGAAAAAGAGGTTATTTATTTATTTTTAAATTTTGTCCTTTTGAGACAGGGGCTCACTGTGCAGTTCTGCCTTGAGCTCACTTTGTAGCCCAAGCTGGTCTCAAACTCACAATGATCCTCTTGCCTCAGTCTCCCAAGTGCTGGGATTATAGACATGTACCACCACACCCAGCAAAAAATGAGGCTTTTTAAAAAGCATCATCTGTTGAAAAATATTTCTAGCTTACCATTTAAGTACAATGAGTTATATGCAGTATTACTTAGATGTATAAATCTAGAGAACACATCAGAAACCAGAAATGTTAGTTTCATAAAAATACTCACCTACAGCACCATTCAATGCGACCTTCACCCTCACAAGTTTTCGCCCAATGATTATCTGCCAAATTTTTCATTGCAACGGCATATTCACAAAGTGTTTCCTCATCTTCACAGTGTTCTCTCCAGATCTTATCAAAATCTCCCACTACAAGCAGAGTAAAAATGATTAAGCTAGCTAAATAACATTTGTAATTTCAGCAAACTCTAAAATAGTTTAAAGATAAGAAATTATGATGTGAAATGATGAAGTCTTAAAAACCCATTTTAAAAGTTCCTTTGAATAAAACAGACAGCATTTTAATTATGGCTTAATCATCAATTACACGAGTTTCAATAGATTTGAAAAGCTGAACATAACTGATAAAACACAGTTATGTGTATATATGAAATGAGCTTAGACTCAAGAACAGTAATTTTGTAACTTCCATTCTAAATATGAATCAGAGCCAGGAGTGGTGGCGCACACCTGTAATCCCAGCCCTTGAGGATGAGGCCAGAACATCACTGTGAGTTTGAGGCCAGCCCAGGCTACACAGTGAGTTCAAGGCAGCCTGGGGTATGCAGTAAGACCCTATCACAAAAAAACCCAGGTAAATTAAATAAGTAAGTAAGAGTTAGAAGTTCATAAAGCAAAAGAACACTGGTAGAAGACAACAGCCGAGCATTCAAGCATTAATTTTCCTCATACCACTACACAGTATGACCTCGAGGAGCAACGCTGAAACAGCTGAGTCTGCTTCTCAGCTGTTATTTCCTTGGATCACTACGTACTTATCAATTACCCTTATGTGTCAATATTTTCATTAATCACAATATATGTATAGTTACGGGGCTCTTAACGTGTTACACAGCAGACTGTCACTGAAATCAAGCAAACAAAATTTTTTCCAAATACTCAAATATAAGTCCTTTCATTTTAACAACACCTTTCAGATGTAAATACCAAGTCTCTAAACATAACTATAGAAAGTAGGTTTTAAACTGATGTATTGATTAATGGGGATTCACAACACTAAGTCTGATTTTATTCACCAGACTTGATGCTAAATGGTTCAATAAGTCAGATTTTGAAGGTTCTTTATCAATTGCTGAAATCAATGTCTTCAACTTTAGAAGGTCCTTTTTTAAACTTCAGTTCTACTGACTTACATAATATGCATATTATAAACAAATATGTAAATGTACTACACGTACTGCAAATACTAGTCAATCAAACCAAAGTTTTATGGTCAAATATATTTTAGAAAAGCTGTATGTAAACACAAATTTCTTTTCTGTAAAATATAGTTTAAATTCTATAGAAGGTATAATTTAAAACAAAGATCAGAGTATGGGCAGTTTATACTGCAACAGGAGTTAGGAAATGGCTAGAAAAACAAGCAAAGAAGAAAAATTAATGGTAGAGGCTGCATTAGGCAAGTTCTGCTGTAACTGAGAAGCACACACAATGCTTCTAAAATTGTGTACCTAAAGGATGGGAAGGTGGAGCATATAACAGTCTATCCTCAATTAACTGAGGAAAGTTAACCAACTTTTCTGTTCTACGCTGCCCTTAGACCTAGGCAGTGAATAAGGGGACATGCTCCTTGGGTTCCAGCACTGCTGGAGAAAGGCAGAACAGAAACGAAAGCAACACACATTTAAATCCAAATTTTGCCAGGGTTGGTAACTGAGTTCTCAGTCTATCTATGCCAGCTGAGGACAAAAGGATGTTATATGGGGCACTATTGGCGATTATTACTAATTCTTGAAGTCCTTAGCATGTTATTTGTATACTTTGAAACACCATCTACTCTGTAATTGTCTACTGGCTAAGACATGTAAAGACGATTGTAAATACACATAAACCTACTGCCCTGTACCTTTTTAGATGACCTTTGTTTTTTCACACTCAGTATTTAAAACCGTTTAAATACTGTTCTGTGGAGTTTAAAAGGCTACTGTCTGTTCCACTAATGTTTTAAGGAAGAATTCAAATTTTGTCCATAGGTTTATTCAATTAAACTTTTGACAACTTCAATTTTACTGTTTTCACTAACAGTATAGTCTGCAGACTCTCAAAGTGATGACACTAAAAAGAAGTGACTATTGTTAAGAGTATAGTATATGTGTATATATAAAGAGAATAAGCTATGTGTTTCTACATATTTTCCACTCTATCAACAGATATGCCAAAAAACTCTGTAAAACACTACAGAGAATAAAGTTAATAAGCAGGTATAAAAATCAAAAGGAGAAAAATATATGTAAATATAATGTAGTAATATTGCTATAAAAACAAACAAGAACCTGATATGTTTCCTATGCCACGTGTAAGGCACCCTAAAACAAGAATGAACTGGGATAAAGAGATGCATTAACAGAATTTGAAAAATACACACTTCAAGAAACTGTGTGGCCTCTCCTAAGAGAGAGGCACATTATGTCCTGCATCTGAGAACATTTACATTTCTCTTGAAGGAGTAGAAACCCATGCATTTGTGAGTTTATAGTAAATTCCCTCTTGGGTCTTGAAACTAGAATTTTTAATTAATGTATTTATTCAGCAGAAATGTATCAAAACTCAAATACTAAGTACTGCAAGTATTACACATCTAGTGGTTACAAAGTTGAACAAAAAACAGTTGCCTTTTAGTTACAAGATACTGCCACTTTCTGGAATACTTTGAAAGCTTTAGCAAGGTATTATATTCAATAAATGAAGTCACTAAACAGTACACAATGAGAAAAAACAGGCTTTTATACTACTGAAAAATAATGTGTTTAACCATTAACTAGCGTATTTTCAAAGTATATAATTTGGTTTGTGAAAGCCAAAAACAGTTAAGTTTAACAATGTCCAAAATACATACACAAATTTCTTCTGTTGACTTGGTGGTCAAACAGCATACACCAAAAATTGTTAAAACTTGATTTTAAAGATTTGAGACCATTTTGTTAACACAATTTGACCACGCCAGAAGAGGAAACTTGCAACCCAATGTCAAAATGACAATACTTTTCATTATCAAAAGGCAAATCAGGAACTAGAACTGTCTGAAAGATCTAGTGAATACAAGTGTTTATTCAAATTCAATGTCCAAATTTGCAATGAATTAACAATTAGCTTTATTATTTATTTTAATATTGTAGCATTTATGAATAACTAAAAATTACTGTGATTAATGACCCATTTCTTACATGCATCCTACAAAAAACGAATGTGTCAGAGAGAGAAAATATGACTATCTCAACTAAGCATATTTACCCAACTATAGAAAATTCAAAAATTACTTTTTTTTTTTTTTTTATCTTTTTCCTTTTTATCAGTACCGGGAATCGAACTCACGACTACTCACTTGCAAGGCAGGCGCTTATGCCGCTGAGCTAAATCCCCAGCCCCTAAAAATTACTTTTAGCAAATTCAATTAAAATACCTTATGTCCTGCAGCCTAATTTGACATTAACAGTTAACAAACATTACATGATCAAATTAAATTACAAGAAGGAATTAGTAATCACTTGTTCAATACAGTTTTAAAATTCACTTATAGTGGGCCAGGGATTTAGCTCAGTGGTATAACTGCTGCCTGGCAAGCACAAGGTTATGAGTTCAATCCCCGGTACCAAAAAAAATTTTTTTAAAAATTAAAAAAATTAAATTTGGCTTAGTCTAATTTGTTCTATAACATTCTAGAACAAAATTCACATTAACATGAGTCCTATTTATTGTATTCCCTTCATAATCATATTTTTAAAACAAAACAAAAAGCTAGTTCACAATTTTAAATATCAGTCATGCCAATTTGCTAAACCAAATTCATGACGGAAATCAATGAACAACATTATTCTGAATCTTGGTTTTACATCAAGATAATACTGTGATTATTGACCAAATTGACCTTAAAGATTATAAGTTACAATAAAGACTACGAAGTTGTCTATAAAAAGAGAGTAAAAACTAAGGAAGAACAAATCACATTCATTTAAAAATTTATATTTTAGTAGTATTGTGATTATTTATAAATACTTTGACTAAAACTACCTTTATAAAACCAAGCACAGTAAGAGAAATTAAGGAGCCACCCAATTTTTGCCCTTCCCAGTCTCCTCAAGATATATTCCATGACAGTTATAAAATCAAATAAACCAAAAGGATCCCTAAACTATCTCTTTAGAATTAATACTACCTTTATTTTAAAGTAAGCCTTCTCCTGACATCTGGAACAGCAGATTCTCTTTCCTTTTAAACTGAATTCACTTCTAGAGTGTTTATCCGCCTCCCTTTTGATCATTTTATAATTCCCTCATGCATGCCTATCATCCTTATGGTACTATGTCATTCATTCATGCACATTGTCTCCTAAAATCAGGCATGATTTTCTCACTAGAAAGTGTAAACTGATGCAGGATATAATACCACAGGCCTGGCATCTCGGCATTCTGAGAGGCTGAAGCAGGACAGTAAATTTAAGCACAGGCTGGAAAATGTAGCAACTTATCGAGATCCTGTCTCAGAACAAAAAATAGAAAAGGATTGGAGATGTAGTCCAGTGCAAAGGCCCTAGATTCTATCTCCAGGACTAAAAAAGGGTGAGAAGATGAGGACAAGGAAGAAAGAAAAGGAGAAGAAAAAGGCATAAATTTTGAAAGGCTACCTTTGACTTTTAATGTATGAATTATAGAAATTAATCACAGTGCCCTGCGATGGGCAACAAAATATTTACATTTGCACCATATTCCAAATATATAAACATCAAAAAAATAAGGTAACCAAATAATTTCTATAGTAAAATCCCATCTACACATAGGTGTCAATAAATCATAGTGAGTCAAAAGCAATAAAATTTGCATATTTCCAAATACTGTTTTCAAAATAAGACAAAAGAGAAAAACAAATCAAAGTCATTTTTCTGAAGACTACATGGTAAGTTGATTAAAACTTACAAACAACTTTCACTTTGTATTATCATCAAAAGAAAAACTTGCAACTAAAGGTATGATCACATCTACACTATTAAGTTTTTTGATAATGTATGTAAATCTTTTTGGAAAAGCTATAAGGAAAAGCGGTTGGCAATCACACTACATAAGGAGTTACTTATAAGGGAAAAGAGTAAACAAATTATGCTGATGTTCATACATTTTTACACACTGGGCCCGTCTAATATTTAGAAGTACATTAAAAACAGTATTTTCTCAATAACTGTTCTAATTCAGAAATTTAGCACATCTACATCCGTGACCAATGTAACATAAGAATAGTATTTACCAATTATATATTTGATAAGGGGCTAATACCCACTTGAAACCGTACAACAGCAAAAATTCAAATAATCTAATTAAAACTGAATAAATGACTTGAATAGACAATCTTCCAAAAAAAGACACATAAAATGTACATAAAAGTACATAAAAATGTATCCAACATCACCAGTTTTCAGGAAAACAAAAATCAGAACTACAATACGAGGGCTACCATTAAAAAGATTACAAGTCCTGGAGACAAAATAAAGGAAAGCGTATACATAGTACTGGGTGGTACAGACACAGGCATTATGGAAAACAACATAAGAGATGCCTCAAAAAATTAAAAATTAAACTATCACATGACCCAGCAACTCTTCTGAGTAAATATCCAAAGAAAATAAAGTACTGTAAATATGCCAAAAAGAATTGTGCACACCTACAGCATTACAGCACTACTCACCTTACAATATGGAAGCAACCTAAGTGTCCATTGTGGATGAATGGATGACAATACAACATTATTCCATAATGGGAATGAACTTGGAGGTCCTTATGCTAAGAAATACGTACCAGGCATGGAAATACAAATAGGACATAGCACTTATATATGGAATTTAAAATAGTAGATATTATACAAATACAAAGAAGTGATTGTCAGGGTTTGAGCAAGCAAGGAAGAAATAGGTAGATAATGGACAAAGGTTATGAACTTTAAGTTATAAACTAATTATGCTCTAAAGAACTAGCATATATTACTAGATACAATATGTACACTTGCAATTTGTTAAAGACTACTCACATAAGGCAACTATGTTAGGTGATACATATTAATCAGTTACACTATAGAAATCATTACATAAGGCATATTCCTATCAAAATACTAAGTTTTACACCTCAGATAATATTGTTTGCCAATAGTCCCTCAAAAAATATGCCCTAATTCTTGGCATTAGGTTAGCCTTATAAGTCATGACATGAAAGATTAAAAATGCAGTACTGAGTTTTTAAATAATGCAATGCAAAGAAAATATACTATATACCTTTATGTACAAAATTCTGAAAATGGAGATGAATCTGTAGCAACCAGAGGGAGGCAGGACACAGTAAAGACACTGCAAAGAAGCATGAGAAAATGGAAAGAAATGTCTGTATCTGGATTGTGGTAACGATTTCACAGGTGCATAAATCTGTCAAAACTCTTAGAATTACATACTTTACACTTTAAATGGATATACTCTACTATATATGAAATATATCTCAATAAATTTAAATTTTAAAAATTACATGCATGAACATGTAACAAAAATTGCATGCATACAAAAAATTACATGCCATGAGATGTTACAAAATGAGAATTTTATTTCAATAAATTTCAGGACCATCAAGTTCTCTAAAGAACAACCCTCCCCAATATGTGAGTATCATAAATATGCCCTCAACTTTTAGAAACTCACAATAATTGATTTTTGACATGAGCATATGTCATAAGTGGGCCCCAGACGCTTTATCTGTAGATGATCAGATCACCAAACTCAAGTTCAAAGAAACTTTAAAGGTAATTTTCTCAAACATGAGGTATATTAGCCACTTTCCCATCCGTGGGACAAATTACCCAACATCTACAACTTAAAGGAAGTGAGGTTTCATTTTGGGTCATAATTCCTATAGGTTAAGCCCACGGTTATCTCTAGTCTAAGGCAAAAATGGCCTGGCAGAATGGCTATGGAATAGTTACCAGAAGCAAGAGAGGAAAGAGAAGACATACTTTCAAGTCTAACAGGCCCTACTTTAGAAGGTAGACTTTTCAGGAACCATGTTAGATCTAAATCATAACATGGGTTAAGTAAAGAAATTCATAACTGGTGGAAACAAACTGAGCTTACATTTCAAGACACTAAAACTTGAAGTGTTCAAAGTTATGCTGCTAACCACTAAACCACCTTGCCTCTCTTCATGAGTTTTTAATTTATAAAGTTTCAAACATGAACAAAGGTTGGCACTAGAACCAAAAACAATGACTCTACTAACCATAAATAGTTGGTCAGTCAAATGGAGTTATTTAATTTCTGTAACTGCACTGTTAAGATTTCTGGTAGTGAGTCTCAGCTCTGGCTGCCATTTCTAACTCCACAGTCATTTATTTAACTGATTTGGAACAGGAATAGATCATTTAGTCTAATGCCAGGCCCCCAAGCCCTTGATGAATTAATTCACTACATATCCATGACTCAAAACTAGTAATATATGATAAGGATGTAAATGCAAATGCCTAGTGAAATAATACACAGAGTGGTGAGGCTTGGGACAAACTCAAGCCAATTATAATTAAAAAAACAAAAAATGGATGGGTTACACTTAATACCTATAACACAATTTGGCTTATGGTTTATCTTCTATGTTTGGATCAACCTTTTATTATAAACATTTCTATGATTAAAAAACTCTAAATATAAAAGTCTTGAAAGCATCTTACAGAGGAGATAGAGTCAAAAGGACCAATGTCATCAACATCGATTAGTCGTTTGTTAAAATTAATTATATAGAATGTGTGTATGCTACACATATAACTTAGAGCAATACTGAATTTTCAAACAAAAGGGCTTACAGAGCAGCCTTTGGAAACTCTAATTATGGATACTCAGATGTTCCTTTAAAGGTTATTATAGGCCATACTGGCCATTTACTCTAAACAACCTTGTTTTATCTGTGAATTTAGGATATAAACAAAGCTACAAAACACAAAATTATTACCATATTTTAATGTCAATAAACACAGACATACACATTATACCCATAACCCTGTCTGTTCTCATGTTTCTGTGGACTACCAAATTTTTAAAAATTAGATTAAGTCTGTGGGTATACAGAAGGATAGAGAGACACATGAATGATGAAGCAAGTACAGATGAATATTAACTTAGATACATGAATGTGTGTTGCATTCTTTGAACTTCTCTGAATGTCTGGAAATTCTCATAAGTAGAGTGTTGCAGAAAGAAAAGTACTTCAGACAATTTCTACAACATAAGTATAGAGAGCAAAAAAATGGGAATTTGGGAGCTGGACAGACGTAGATTACAATTCCAGTTCCTCTCTTATTAATTTGAAATTTAAATCATTAAAAAAATTATGTGATTAACTTCCAGGATATCACTACATCTAATTTAAAGATGAATACTTTTTTGGATTTTTAAAGACAAAGAAAATCAGTTTTAAAACAAGATAATAAAAAGGAAACAATAGTTAATATGTTGTGTACTGTTATCTTTTAGTTACTCAGAATACAAGATATTGGCATTTAATTATCCAAACAATATTAGCACAAACCTTTCTTTTTCAATGAACTAAGAGAAATTAGTAGTATAACTATCTTAATTATAATTATATAATATATATATTTTGCTTTTCCCTTCCTTCTTTTCTCCATTTTCCCATCCTAGTTTCTCTTTCTTTTTAATGCTTCTTCTCATTTTACAATAAGATGAACATTTTTAGAAAATTCATGTGAATCTGGGATAGAGATAAGGAATGCTGCCCAGGAGCCATTCAATTCCTTATGCTAGCTTGAAAGACAGGATAGCAACAAGTAACACCTCTATTATTATACTACTTGATAAAGGTTAGGATCTATTGCTTTTGATAATTACCAAGAGATAATAAAAATAAATGCTTTAAATGTACAAACTGTTAATAAAAAAGGCAAGTTTTAATCCAGTCGATCATTAAAATTTGAACAATATATGAAATTGCTCTTGCAAACACTATAAAAATACAGCTTGTTATACTTTAGATCTAAAATGTTCCCTAAACACTCTCATGCGTTCACAGGTAGAAGGTTGGTAAGGTGAGTGGATCATGAATGCATCGGTGGATTAATCCCGGCAGTGTGTATTTTCTAGGTTTGTCCGCTCTGTCTCTGCTTCTTGGCTGCAATGAGCTGAGAAGCTGTCCTCCACTACGCTGTTTCTGTCTTAGAGTCAGCCTTATAGCCAGACAACTACTGACTGAACCCGTTGACACCATGAGCCCAAGTAAACCTTTACTCTTTCAATTGCAGGTATCAAGTACTTTGTCTCAATGATGGAAAAGAGATTAATTCAAAGCTGAATGGGCCTATTTGAATTTATTTCAGCTAGACATGGTAAACAATCTTTAGATCTATAACAGAAAAGATTTATTCACACACAAATTTTTCTAAGTTGACAAACACAATGCAGGGAGAGAAGGACAGGATTAATATAATGAATTTGCCTTAATCATTTAGATAAATGTAGATATACCATTTCCACTATAGAAATGGTACCAAATGGAAATATGAAAATATGTATCATAAATACCAATAGAAACACTTAAAGATAGTTAACTATAAGAATATGGTGCATTATGCAGTACTACTACTCATAAAGAATAAACTTAAAAGTCATTTTATAGGAAAACGGATGCATCTCAAGACCAAAATGTTAAGTGAACCAGACACACAAACTTAAATATCACATGGTTTTTCTCATAGGAGACACCCAAAATAGAAATAAACAACAAATTAAAAGAGAAAGGCAGTAGGAAAACATATCTTTCTCAAATGGGAAAGGGGATCAAGAGATGGAGGAAGAGGGGAGGTATGGAAGCTGAAAGAGATGAAAAAAAAGAATCATGATGTGTTATGTACGTGTGTCAACAACCCATGAGAAATGTGATCGTTAGGCTATAAACATGGCCTAATATAAATAAATAAATGAATAAATAAACAACAATAGTGCAGCACGAATGCTGTTTTGAAAAATTAATTAGTTATCCCAACTGATGCTTTATTTCCATATATACAGTACTTTTATTACAGAAATTAAGTATTTCATGGGCACATGAGCAATGAATTTTTGGGGGTGGGGGGGTGGGAACCAGGGATGGAACTCACCTTGTGCTTGCCAGGCAGGCACTTGCATCAGTGAGCCAAATCCCCAGTCCCAATGAGTAAGGAATGAATACAAAATACAATTACAGCTCTCAGGACACATTCTTTAGCATCAACATGTCTTGTTTTTCTAATGAAAACCTTAGTTACAGGTCTATCACGAAGTGGTTCAACAGTCACCTGCATTAGAATCACATTAAGATTATTAAATATGTAGATTCTTAGGCTCTTATCATGAATTCATTAGATTGTTTTTTGGGAGCCTAGGAAGCAACATTTAAAAATTTTTCCACTAGATTCTGAAATTAAAAGTAAGATATATTTGATTCTGAAATACAAAGTAAGATATATTTAGAGCACTATAGAAATACAACATACAAAATAATACTACATTTAAGCCAACAGACTGGGAATCTTTAAAAATAAAAGCAAACCACTATTTTCTTACAATGTTGTAATAAACATACTTTTGCCTTTTCTTGAAGACTTTAGGATGTCACTTTGAGCATCTTTATCCTAAATGAAGTGTAAATAGCACTTGGAGTAATTCTACTGTTAACACCAAATACAGAAGCAATTCAGTTCCTTGGTAGTATGCCTTGTGTTCTGTGAAGACTCCACTTTCGCCTTTCAACCGCTAATTACTAGTATCTTACAAGGATCTGTCATTACATGTATCATTATGCTGAACAGTTCATCTAATCTCAAAACAATCTCCACACAGAGGGCTTCCAAACGAAACATTCCAAACTAAACCATTGCCTCTGTCCCTCTAACAAGCCAACTTACTGCCTCCTCGTTCTGTCCAACCCCATCCCTATTCAAACAAGGTATTTCCAAACTGGATTCTAAGGGCTACTATTTACATTTTCCAGTCAACAAATCTTGGCCCTACCGTTGTCTCTTTCTTTTTACTTTCATCAAAACTGTTTACTTGTCTTTCTCTACTTTCATGAATACTACTGCTATTTACAATTATCAACTCTAGATCACTTTCATATAAAAGCTTCCTAATCAGCTCCTTTACCATATAAAGATCCCTTCTACTACAATTTATAGTACTTGAGCTCAGTGTTGCCTAACTGTCCAGCGCATACTCTATGAAGCTTTTTAGATACAGATGCTGGTGTTCTAAATGTTCTAAAAATGATAATGACATGCAATCTTGGCTAAAACAAAGGATTTGTTTTGGTTTTTAGTATTATCTTCTGAAACATAAAAAGACTTCTAAAACATACTTTAAGACGCTTCATGATAACAAAAGCAAACAGCTAAAGTACGTCGCACATCTACCACGTGCCCTTCATTGAACTGACTGCATCAACATTCCTTTATCTTTTAGTGTTCCTGATTACTCAGCTTTTTTCCCCACTGCTGGAATGGCAGTTAAAATTTCCCCAGGACAAAGTTAGCTAGAATTTCTGTGGTGTCTTTACCTTATTTATTTTACCGAGCAGGCAAATATTCTATCATAAATGTTGTCTGATTCTGTATCAGAATGCGTGTGACTTGGAAAAGCAAAAAAATAAAATAGCAAAATCTCACTTGAAAAATAGTGAAACAAAGAGAACCTGTATGAAGTTTCACAGAGTCACAGTATATATACAAAGCAGCTATACTGAATGGACACAATGGGAAGAAAACTCAGGCTGTTCAAATAAAACCAGTCTGTTATCCTAATTTTTAAGTTTCAAAATTTCATTTCAGAAAAAACACCCACATTACATCCATTTACTCATTTTAGACATATAGGCTTCAGTTCAAAATTATTTCTAGTTCACAGGTTTTTTCCCCTTCAATTACTTTATGTTTCTTACAGAATAATGATTCAGAATTAGATACTTTTAGCTTATCTTAAACAAATATATACTTTCAGCTTATCCTAAACAATTAGTTCACCTTTTGTCTTAAACTATGAAGACAAATTTGAGTAATCAGTAAGTATTAATTATTGAAACTAGGCCATTTAGTCTCTGACACTAAAATATCGCTCACATCTGGTAAACTTTGTGAAATTTTTTTTTTCCTGGACCTAATCTTCAGAAACACCCTATCCTATGTTTTCTGTTTCCCTATCAATAAACTTTAATCATTATTTTATAGTACTATCATTATTACTAATGGTGTCAAAAAATTACCTATAATTCTTTAACTTTGAAAACATTACTGTTAACAGGTTGAGTACGTGTATTTTTATTTCTTTGACTGATTTACAACCTTCCTGGGTTTACAGGGTAAACTTCTATTCTGTTTTGTTATGTATAATAAGGAAATTTAGAGACTAAATAAATTGGTGAAATGTTCTGAAGTAAAGAAATATGCAGGATACAAGTAAAAAATCAAAATTAAATGGAGAGTATACTTTTATTACTGAGAACTGCACCCTCTTATTTTTTTTTTTTTTGGAATTTTTACATAACCTCTTTTATATCTGACAAAAAAAGTTTTTATGCATCAGATTATAAAAAAATCATATAAAGACAACTCAAAATACAAATGCCTCTAGTTCAGTTCTCAATTAGACATGTACTTATCAGGCACAAACAATGAAATCTCTGTTTGGAAAATAAAACCAGTTGTTTCTTCTTAATAAGCTGTCTATAATTCTTAGGATATATTTAAAATAAGTTTGGCTTATGAGGACATAAAATTTTAAAATTATGCTTAGCAAAGACAGAATACATGTAAGTGCAAAATCATTCCTAAAAGAAGGTCTTCAAATGGCTGACTCCAGAACATTCCTTTTCTCATCACCATCGTTGGGCATTTCTCTAGCATTTTCTTTTAGTAAGTACTTGAGATAATGCAGTATTGCCTTAAACACTGGCCTATACCTCCAGTTTTTGCTTTAGCTTTATACAAACTGGCATAAATTGGTATAAGATCTTTACTCTGTGACACAGAACAAGCAGCATAATATCGTAAGGACAGAACGATAAAGAACCACATTAAACCTACACACTAGTTTATAACCCTATTCACTGCTCCTCACCATCAACACAGATTGAAACAGTGAAATCTTTCCTGTCACAAGAAAAAAAAAATCTCATTTTCACTCTTCCTTCTGCTTCATTTTCAATTCTAAAACCAGGGATAAGGGGAGGGAGAATCTTATTCTTCAACCCCACAGTCCTCACTCAAATTCACTATTCAGTGACTGCTTTGCCATCTTCCTTCTGCCTCGATTTCCTCCCTACTATCCCAGCCTGAAAAATTTGTACCTCACATAGCCACAACTAAGCTAATCATGTCCATCCTGTGGATCAACCATGCCCATCAATTTATATACTTGTCTCTAATCTAGATTCTAGAACTATTTCCCCTTGCATTCTAACATTCAAAATCATCAACATTAAGCTTGAAAATGGGAAGGAAAATCTATCATCCCCATAAAATATGTATAGTGCTAATGATGAACTACCTGACCTTCAAGCAAGTTATTTTAATATATTCAAGACTCAGTTTACTCATCTGTAAAAAGGAGTTAGTTTACATCACTAGCCCAAAATTGGCCGATAAATTTAGAGGACCTAATGACAGAGATTCTGAAACTATAGACAATGTGCAGGAATTTTCTGAGACACACAAATGACTACATTGATCAGCCACGTTTCGAGAGCTGATAATAGATGCTAAAGATATTTTTTAGTCTTATATCCCAAAATTCTAAGGTGCAATTTTCACTGTATTTTCTGGTAAGAAGACTGTTATAAAATATTACATTTTCCATTGGTACAACAGTTCAGGTATGTTACTGATTAAACAGGCTTTTGCAGATTAACTTATTACTTAAGCACCATTTGTATTATCCTATGATTTGCAAGTGAACTTGTAAAATATGGTTACAGATTGGGGATCATCAGTATTTCAATACCAAATGCACAAAGTAGAACACTAAAAATTATTTCTCTGGGACTACACTCACAATCAGGCTTTTTCATGCAGGTTTTTTATAATTAAAATTTTCCCAATGTCAAAAAATAGTGTGCTCATTATGATTATTTATTGTACTAGCCCACTGATGGGGCTTTGTGTATCCCTGGAGTAAAGCCTAGAGAAATCTAGAGCACTGATGGAATTCAGGGCACTAAAATGCCTAAAGAACAATTTGATTCAAATGTTTATTGTTGCCAGGACTTTACCTGCCCAATAGCGCAATAGATTACTTATTTCTAAAATGCATGTATCTATTCTAGCTCTGGTAACTTCCAATTACCAATTCTCATTATAAGCAACTGTTCCTGTGGCTAATATTTGGACTGAAAGACATGTTTCAACATGTAGGAACTAAACACGCACAAACAGCACTTGAGATGATGGCACATTAGTACCGTGTTAATTTAAGTGGAACCTATTCACTTATGAATAAATGAATTATGAATAATAAATTATAAAAATCAAAAATGGATACTGAATTATATGCTAGTTTTCTTTAAAAATATGCACTTACACTTATACAAAATAGCATGATTAACTGCACCAAAGTGTCTATTTAGTTGCTTTTTTTCTATAAAATAACACAAAATTCTACAGTGAATGCCATTATGTAAGTGCATTCTCCGAATATCAAGAATGATGCAATTGCTGCTATGGTAACTACTCATTTTATTGAATAAATTGTGGCTGGGATTTAAAGCATTCTTGAAGCCAAATTTCAACATCTTATCTATGCTTGATAGGTCTCTGCTGGCACCTATTAACTGATAACTATAAGGCATCCTTAGAGCTGATTAAGTAGACTGTATAAAAGCTAGGCTTGAGTTGCCAAGGAAAGAAAACCTATCAACTACACTCAAAGGAACAAAGACACTTAGTTTTAACTTTCTGGAGTACCTGAAAAGTGTATGTAAGTGAAGAGTAACATGATCTCAGATGTTTTTGTTCTTTCGCTGTTGTAATTTTATTTCTAACTTAAATTCACTAAAAACAGAGGGGTATTGATTTTTTAGTTTGCAATTAAGTTAAACCGAGCGCCAGCTGAAAATTACCCCATTCGGATACTTAAGGAAACTTTCTCCTGAACATGAATATACTGAGAATTTTCACTGTCAAAATCTTATAAAACAGCTCTCAAAAAACCTGTATTTAAAAGCACGAAGGATAACTGAAGATTCCAACTACAAACACTCAGGATAAGGCAATGCTGCTAAGCCTTCTCTCTCTTCTCTTTCTTAAAATCTTCCATGGAGGAGGCTTCCATGAAGGTCGACTTGCTCAGCATCTGTCTTTAGCAGACTACAAAACCAAGCAGCATTTTAAAGACCTGCCTCAGCTCGCTACCTAAACGCAAAGATCAAGGATTGGAAGAATGGGTGTGGGGGCCTGACTGCAGCCCAATTCCCTTTAACAGTGAAGTGCAGTCAGCTAAAGGGCCTGCTGACTTCGCAGCCCTGGAAGCCGACGGGAACGGCTGTTACGATGAGGTTATTAGAAAGAGGATCTGACGGCAAGCGAACGCAACAACAGGCTGGTCCTGCGCCAGGGAGCGAGGGGAAACTCAGCTCCTCTCGCTCCTTCACCACTGGATTTTACCTCTTTGCCTTTCACCTTCGCGTTTCCAGCAGTGAGCGACCCCTACCTTCTCGGAGAGAGGGTGTGTGAGCGGTGACAACACTCTCAGCACCCGTACAGGGGACCGGGGCTCGGAGAGGGAAGACTCCGTTCCTCCTCAGGCCCGAACTCCGCCGCAGGCCCTCGCGGCAAAGGGGGCGGAGGAGCGCGAGCGACGGCGGCCCAGGCTCCCGCAGCGCCTGACGTGCAGCTCCCTCAGATTTCAATGGAGACGGGGGGAGGGTGACAGGGACGGGGGACGCGACGCCCCTCCCCCCGCCCAGCTCGCTGTTTACCTTCTCGGTACTTCTTGCGGAGCCGCCGGTGGACGCTCTTTACCACTCCGGAGAGCTTCTCCTGCTCCAGCTTCCGCTCCTGTTCCCGGGGCTGCAGAGGGCTCGGGGGCCCAGCCCCCTGTTCGCGAGCAGCATTCCGGCCGCCGGCCCCCGGCTCCATTTCGCAGCCGCTGCCGCCGCTGCCGCCGCTGCCGCCGCCGCCGCCGCCCCTCAGGCCCCCGCAGACGCTCCCCTGACGGAGGAGGTGGGGAAGGAGGAGGCAGCAGCGGAGGCAGCAGCCGCAGGAGGCAGAGGAGCCGAAGCCACAGTCTCGGGGTTGGACCCTTACCCGAACATAGGGTCCGATTGGTGGAATGTGGAGGGCTGGGCGGAAACGGAAAAGGATAAGAGCCAATGAACGGAGAGCGGTGGCGGGGCACCGGGTTGTTTGGGAAGGCTAGCAGCTGGAGGGGGCGGGGCCCGCAGCCGCAGGGCAGCGGGGGCGGGGGGAGCCGGGGCTGAGAGCTCCATCGGCTGCGCATCTTGCCTAGATTCTGTGCGCAGGCGCCCTGGTGCGGCCTATGGAGCCGGCGCTGTGAGCAATGAGCTTGCGCCTATGAGTTTGTTGAGTTTTGGCTTCTTTGTACCGTCAAGTTTTCTCACGTCTTCGTCTTTCCACGGTTTGGTAATACAGTGTCACGAGGCCAGCGACCTCTACGTGATACCCCTTCTGTATTTCGTCATGCCTGCGTAGGTTTCTTGTAACTGGATTTCCTTTAAAGTGTTTTGCAGCACAGGAATTTTACAAAAAGAAAGACCAAACTCATATACTTTCATTGGCTCATGAAGAAAAGAAGTCAGGCTGCTAGTGCTGTTTTACTTCATGGGCCAAAATGGCTAATGTCTTTAGTGTTACTGTTGGGCAAAAGAGAGAAAATGAGGATAGGAGAGAGCCAAGAAAAGCAATGGAAGCTATGGAAGAACCCAGCTGTAGAGATAGAAAGCTAACAACAGATGTCCTTGAGAACTCTAGCAATGACCAGCAGAAAGCCTGCCCTGAAGTTACTCGCAAAACGGGTTTAAAGCCTACACAGGTGACCTGAAGACCTCCATAATGGAGGGTTAGTTACACCTCTCTGGAAATGTGATTGCTGGCTTCTTCTCAGAAAAGTGATGCACGGCAGGAGACAGACATCATTAGGTCCTAAAGTGATACCAATCCTGACAGAGCCTGAGAAATTCGACAGGCAGTGAATTGTGGAGTTGCTAGCTAATTGACATTGTATAGAAATTGTTTGCAATGAAAATTTTCTGATCACTTATAAATATGAATAAAGCTTGATTTGTGTAATTGTCTCAAGACCAAAGGATTCTGCGTGCTCTCTTAATCATAGGAAGACTGAGAGGTGAAAGAAGATTTTTGGAAGATGTGTCTCTCTGCGCAGTGAAGAGGCAAATCTAAGACACAGGGACATATGAACTGCAAAAGAACAAATTATAATTGCGAAAACAGCCTATTATGGAAGCGCCTAATAAAAAAAGAGACTGGTGATCTTACTGGAGGAATATTACTTGGGAAGAAAGGGTATTTTGAATGACACACCTCTTTTGGTTCTTTCCATAGTTTAATATAGCTGGGAGAAGAGCCAGGGATTTGGCCCAGTGGTGTAAGCGCCTTCCTGGCAAGCGCAAGGTGATGAGTTCCAACCCCGGTACAAAAAAAAAGGCAAAAAGAGGTGAAGGTATTTGGAAGTTACGATGATACAAAAGAGAGCATTAAATTTCTTTTGTACTGAATGGTATTTTCCTCCTAACTACTAGCAAATAAATTTTTAAGATCTTTGCAAAATGAAAGATTTATTGAAGGAAATTTGAAAAATATGGAAAGAAGATGAAGATGAAAGTCTGGAGACACACCAGTGAGAGATAACAACTGTTAAACTTTTTTTTTAAACTTGGATACACTAATTACAATGGACTATTTCTTCATCGTTATGTGATAATCTATTACGTGATAGCCTATCATTTCATTAATCAGTCTCCAGTCACTGTATATGTATGCTGTCTCCTTTTTTTCTATATAACAAATAAGCCTGAGATGAACTCCAATTTACACATTTCTCTATTTTTTAAAATTATAATTTGCATTATTCTAATTCTTAAAAGTTGAATTCTTGGATTGAAAAATCAGACATATTGAAGTTTTGGATGTATATTGTCAAATGCTGTTTTCAAAATGACAGTAGCAGTTTTTGTCACTTGTAGCACATGTGGATGACTATTACACTGCATCCTTACGAGTATAGATACCTCAATTTACAAAGGTATTAATGAGACTTTTAAAGGGATTCTGTTTTTATGAAATACTCAGTAGCTTCCTGCTATTTTTTGACTAGCCATTCTGATTAGTATAGTAACTACCTTAAACAAATAATAGAAGGAAAACTAAAATGAATTTAAGAATAGGTAGTTATTTTTCAGCTGAGGGAAAAAGCTCTGTATCTTTGGTTTTTTTGTTTGTTTGTTTTTGTTTTTGTTTTTGACTTCTTATTTTCTTGAGAAGCAACTCAAGATACAGAAACTGGACAGACTTCCAGTTTGAATGAATTCAAGTAGAACATAGATCAATATATTATGAAAAACACTCATATTGAGTTCTTATCTGAACAAAGCAATTAGCCATAGAGCACAGTATACATGGAAATTTATAACTACCTTCCTCAAATCTAATTAGTAATGTTACAAAAAAACTTTCTGAATGTTAAGATAGCAGAGGAATGGTAATGACATATAACAGTGAAATAACTGTTTTACTTGCCAGCAAAAAAGGAGGCATGGCAGAGTCAAACTTTGGTGCCATATTCAACAAGCTTCTCCTATGCTCAGGAAAATATCAACATCCCCCTGCGAATAGGAGGTTTATTTACTGTAAATAACTCATTTTTTAAAAATTCTTTGATTGAAATTTAAAATAGCTCTTGGGGAAAAGAGATAGTAGAATAAACTACAGTATTATGACTGAAGCTGGACAATCCAGTCTGGCAGAACGAAGTATTTCCAGTGACTGCACTGATTTCTTCTCCTCATTCTCAGTTTCTCATCTTCATTCTTTGCCTGCTGTAACTCCATACTTCTGTACCCTCCACCATGAACATGTGGTGTGTCACCAAGAGCTTCTATGTCAAGGAACCAGAGTCTACTGCTAAGAAAATACTGCCATGTTTTCTTTGTCATGTTCTTTATGGGAAAAAAGTCCTATAGATGATGAGAAATATGAATACATTATAATCACAAGTATGTTCTATTCTCAGGAAGAGTCCAGAAAATATTAATCAGAAATGAAAGCAAAATTTTAAAATCTACATCATGATTTGCATTGTGACACTAAGTGCACCAGTAGGTTCTTAGTGCACCCTGCAAAAGTGTACTTCATTTCACTTTTGGAAGAGAGAAGTGTAGCCTGGCGTGGTGGGGCATGCCTATAATCCCAGTACTCAGGAGGCTTGAGGCAAGAGGATCACTCCAAGTTTGAGGCTAGACTTGGCTGCATACTGAGTTCAAAGCCAGCCTGAAGTGCATAGTGAGAGATAAGCCTAAATAATAGAAACCGGAGTTTTTAGAATTATATATTCAAAAGCATTTATTATTTTATCTTGGTCATCAATTATTTTTTTGGAATTACCTATGTTAGTTTGGCCCTCTTTATCAGTAAAAGCCTTAAAAATTAGGTTTTACTGTTGCAGAATAAAAGTATTAATACTCAAGTTTATGTTTATAAAACTCATGTATACATTAATAATGCAGAAAGACTTGATCATTCTTATTAGTGAAGACAGAGTTACATTCTTAATTGAAAAAAAAACACTGGATAGTTATCTGACCATTCATGAAGTATGGAAACATAAAATCTGTGTTATTTTTAAAATATTATACTGTTATTAGTATAATACTTGCCTATGAATATAAAAATACTCTGAAGCTTAAATGCTTTGTTCTATTCAAAATTTTAATATGTAGAACATCATTATTTGGAAACACAGAAAACTTAAAAAAAAACTTTTTATTTCCCATAATGTATTTATTTATTTACTTATTGTTACAATACTGGTAATTGAGCCCACGGTCTCAGTCATGCTAGTTAAAGACTCTACCACTGAGCCACATTCCTGTGTTTTATTTTATCTTGTTTTTAACTTTTATTTTGAGACAGTCTTACTAACTTCCCCAGTCACGTCTTGAACTTGCAATTACTCTACCTTAGCCTCTTTCATAGCTGGGATTACAGATATGCTCTAACCACACCCAGCTCATATTTTATTTCAAATTATAGAACTTTTCTTTGAAAAATGTATTAATGGTATTTCAAAACAGTGTTCTGACAAAGATAGATTGGAGAACTATCATGAAAAATATTGTTACTGATATATTTTCATTCAGTAAGTAAGATTACAATTTTAAAACTCCTTTTGTCTATTAAAAATAGGTTTATTTTCTTTAAAAATTTACACTTGTTTCTATTATTCCAATGTCTCTACTGCAGTTCTTAATGTATCTATTGACACTGAAAATCTTTTTAAAAAAGCATAGATTAATATCTTTCCAAAGTTAACATACAGAATAGTTCTAAGATGCACAATAACTACAACAAGTGACAAAAATTAATGCCTGCCTTCAAATACAATTATAAAATATACAATCTTTTTGAGATATACTACTGAAATATATTCAATACTCATACCTGGGTAGAAATAGTTTTAAGAAGACAATGAAAGTAGATTATGCCCTTATATTGAAGTATAAAGCTGATTTCTGTGTCTTGATTCTGGTTTTACTTTAACTACCAGAATAAAGTATTTGATTTTTTGAGTTTTATTTTTTTCCTCCATTGAACATAAAATCCAGAGGTTTTATTTGACTTGTGTTTTTCACTGTATTTATTATCACTTTTTCCATGATTCAAGTAAGAATTACATTTTTCATTAGGAATTAGGACACTGAGAAGCATACTATATATACATATGTATTTATAAACCCATGTATGTCTATGATAAAAATTTTATCAAATAATGTTTGCATTTGCTCAGTAAAGTGTGTCATGGTGTTTTCAGTTTTGTTCTTGTTTTTTAAAATGGTGAAACACACTGTATAAATTTTATGGCTCTCTAATGAGTCATGACCTAAAGTTTAAAAAACACTGGCTTTTCAAAGATCCCTTTCAGCTCACGAACCACAGTAATTCTGTGACTCACATTCACTTAGAGAGAAAGCTTTGTGATATGTTCTTTGCTGTGTTAAGACTACTCTGTTGCTTTTGGATAC